AACAAATATGCAATATTCCCAGCGATTAAGAAGAACAGCAAACAAGGCAGAGATAACTCGTTGGGCTTGGAGACCTAGAAAGAGGTGGGCTAGATGGGTAGCAGAGTGCCAACTAGGAGGAAGCAATCCAATATCCCTGGACTACATTGCAGGGTTGCCAGCAAACAGGGATTTATACACATGACTCCTTATATGAAGAGTCTTGATCTTCCTGATGTAGGCAAAGATGCTGACTAGAGATGAGAATGAAGAATAAAATTGAAAATGTTCCTCTCTTAATGACAAGTAAGCCTATAGACCACATTCAGCCCAGACTGGAACTAAACCATGAAACTCACTTGGGAATGGCAGTCAAAGTCCGCTGAGATTCTGAAAATAGGACATAATGTTGTGAATGCTGAGCAAAAGGTTTAATTTATAATCTAAGTTTTATACCACTCTAATATTTCTGTTGCGGAAAGGTGACAAAGTATAATGAAGAAAGGAAAAAGATATAAAAAGTGGGAAAGCAAGAACTTTCAAACATATGCTCAGTAAATAAATATTTGTAAATGTGTTCATATGAGTGTCTCTACTCTTTAAAAATTTCAGTGAACAACACTGTCCATTAGAATCAAATGAAAATTTGGCGGCGGGGAGCACCTGGGTGGCTCAGTCTGTTAAGCATCCAACTCTTGGTTGGCTCAGGTCATGATCTCAGGGTCATGAGATTGAGCCCCAAGTGGGTCTCTGTACTCAGTGTGGGGTCTGCTTGTTCCTCTCCCTCACCCTCTGCCTCTGCCCCTGTCCCTGCTCATGCATGCAATCACTCTTTCTCTGTCTCTAAAATAAATAAAATCTTAAAAAAAAATCAAATGAAAACTTTTTGTATGAAAGACAATTCTAGAAAAGTTGTATTACCATGTTATGTTGAGTATAGCAAAGGGAACTCACATAGGAGGTTTGTCTTGAGTGGCAGCAAGACTAATGGATCCCCACACCCACCTTCCAAATCTTAAAAGTTCATAAAGAGGTCCTAAGTGGGCTCAGTCATGTGTACCATGAGGGTGTTTTCAACACATCACCATCTCAAGGCTGTGTCCTTGGAGCAGGCTCTGGGAGCAGGAGAGACATTCCAAGGACAGGGGAGGGGAAGAGTTTCCAAGTACACCGGTCTAGCTCATGGGTCAAGCAGCAGTCACATCTTTTTGATAAAATTCTGCAACAAAAGGGCAGAACCAAGAGAACAGAAGAGAAATAAAATTACAACAATTAGATTGTCTAACTTGGAATCTGTTCTATTGGTGGGTTTCCAGTTATGTAAGTCCATCTGGGCCAGGTATCTGAGACAGCTCACCCACAAGGCTGAGAACTGATGCTGGCTGTCAGTTGGGAGGAGAGCCTGGGCTGTTGGCTGCAATGCCCATGCATGGCCTCTCTGGCATGACTATCTTAGGGTAGTCCAACCTTTTTACGTGGTGGTTGGCTCACCACAGAACAAGTATGTCAAGAAACCACAAGGAAGAATCACGATCTTTTCTATTCTAGCTTTAGCAGTCACTTTTCTCAGATTCTGTTGGTTATTAGCAAGGCATAAGGCCTGCCAATATTAAAGGGGAGGATATTTAGACTCTCCTGTGGCAAATTCACCCTGTAGAAGGCCATATGGAATGGAAGATATTGTTGTGACCCTATTTGGAAAATAAATTTTGCCAAAACCCATTTATTTTTTAATCAATTATTTTTAATCATTGTGTGGTACCAGGTCCTGTTTCCTGAGAAATATTAATAATGATATAGAAAATAAGTCCCAAAATGTGCGTGTAAAATAGTTAAGATTGTGGCCTAGTTGGATACTCTTCAGCATGAATTTTCTCTTCTGTGAACAGGAATAATAGGACCTACTTTGCAGGGCTGCTTTGACTTTTAAAAGAATTAATACCTGGGGTGCCTGGGTGGCTCAGTCGTTAAGCGTCTGCCTTCGGCTCGGGTCATGGTCCCAGGGTCCTGGGATCGAGCCCCTCATTGGGCCCCCTGCTCAGCAGGAAGCCTGCTTCTCCCTCTCCTGCTCCCCCTGCTTGTGTTCCCTCTCTCGCTGTGTCCCTCTCTGTCAAATAAATAAATAAAATCTTAAAAAAAAAAAAAACAATACATAAAATGTTTAGAAAATTTTCTGGATTGTAACATGTATCAGCAGGTGGTTGTTGAAAAGGATTAAAATAGACCATTTGCTAAAAGTCTACCAATTTGTATTTAAAAATATTAAACCATGTGGTGGAAACAGGAGATATGTTCAAAGAAAAAAATGAAACAAAATTATCCAAAATAAAATGAGAAACATGCATGAGGCAAATAATAACCAACTAGCATAGAAATATCAATATTGAGGGGTGCCTGGGTTGGCTCAGTCATTAAGCATCTGCCTTCAGCTCAGGTCCTGATCCCAGGGTCCTAGGATTGAGTCCCGAGTCCCGCTCCCTGCTCAGCAGGGAGTCTGCTTCTCCCTCTCTCTCTCTGCCCCTCCCCCCCTGCTTGCTTTTTCTCTCTCTCTCTCTCATAAATAAATAAATAAAATCTTAAAAAAAAAAAGAAAATGTGATAAAGAAAATGTAATAAACCCCTGTGATAGGTAAGTTAAAAAGATCATGGCTAGGTCAGAGGTTGGGTGGAAGGCCAGGGGATGGTTCTGGTACAAAGAGATGATGATACAGTGTTGGAGTCAGTCTCCCGAGCAAGTCAGAAGGGGTGTGCAGGTCTCAAACTCAGATCTCCTGACTCTGTGGGGATATTCTTTCTGCTAGAGGCAGAGAAAGAGAGAGCGAGCGAGCATAAGCATAGGAAGTGGCAGGCAGAGGAAGAGGGAGAAGCAGTCTCCCCATTGAGCAGGGAGGCTGACATGGGGCTCGAACCTTGGACCCCTGGGACCACGAGCTGAGCCGAACGCAGACATTCAGTGGACTTAGCCGCCCAGGCGCCCCCCAACCCAAGAGCTTTTCTTTATGTGGATTATATCACCAAGATTTACCATATTAGAAATTAAAACTGAGAAAAGTAAAAAAAAAAAAAGATCATAGCTAGATCTCAAAAACAGTTCCATTAAAGAACAGTAAAATTAAAAAATTTTAAAACCATTGATTTTGCATATCAATATGCAAGGCAAAAAATACACCAGTGAACTGAAAGGATACGGAGCAAAATAATAGTTTCTGGGAGGATGGGAAGAAAATGCCTCTCTAATATCAGTAATTTGTTATCTCTTTTATTTTACAAAGGATATGGAGCAAATGCATCAAAACATTAGCATTTTCTGGGAAGTGATAGTTAGTAAATGTTCTTGCAGTTTTCTGTCAAACTGCTGACAACACTAACACTATTATCTTCACACTAAACTTTGTGTTGTTTGCCTTTTAATGGTGAGAAGCCTAAGCATGTGGGATAGGTGGTTCATTATTTCCTAGAACCACTGCATTATCTTTTGATTCTGAATTTCTTCTGTCCTGACTTTCTAACTTTTTTTTTTAAGATTTTTTATTTTATTTATTTATTTGAGAGAGAGAGAATGAGAGAGCACATGAGAAGGGGGAGGGTCAGACGGAGAAGCGGGCTCGATGCGGGACTCGATCCCAGGACTCCAGGATCATGGACCTGAGCCGAAGGCAGTCGCTTAACCAACTGAGCCACCCAGTCGCCCATGACTTTCTAACTTCTAAGTAACTGTTGGTTTCACGTTTTCATCAAGTATTCTAGTAATTTCTGAATCATCAGTTGGAAGAGACACTGAGGTTTAAAGAGTTCAGGTGAGGTTTTAGAGTTTTGATTGCAGTGCAACTATCATGCTCTCTCATTTAAATTCTCATATTTTAAATATATATGAGTCAAATTCATAAGCCACAAAATAACCTAAGCAGTGTTACCCAGAGGTTTGGCAAAGACTAACTCTTATAAGCTTGGCTTTCCAGGTCCTGGACTTTCGACTTCTAGACATCATCCAATGGTTTTCTTTCATCATTAACTGTCATCTAGTTTCAAGCAACAGACAAGAGAAGCAAGAAGAGATAAAACTGTGGGTCAGAAGCAATTTACTATCAGTTCGTGCTTTTCTGTCATCCTATTATACTAAAACAATATGCCTTTAATGTGAATATGTATATATTATCAATGCAAAAAACTTGGAGAACGTAAATGTAAATAACAAAAATTTAAAATCACCTATAATTATAGACATCTTCCTCACTACACTTTAAAACAGTGTTTTGTTTTTTTTTTAAGATTTTATTTATTTATTTGACAGAGAGAGACAGCGAGAGAGGGAACACAAGCAGGGGGAGCGGGAGAGGGAGAAGCAGGCTTCGCGCGGAGCAGGGAGCCCGTTGCGGGGCTCGATCCCAGGACCCTGGGATCATGACCCGAGCCGAAGGCAGACGCTTAACAACTGAGCCACTCAGGCGCCCCTAAAAGACAGTTCTTAAGTGTACCCGTTTAGAAGAGAAAGGAAACTGCAGAGACCTCAAAATGACTTTTTTAAGTGTCGGCATTATAGATTATTATTTCATCGTTTATACTTTGCTTCGATTTCCACAATTTCTATATGGAAGATGTAATCTGGAAGAAATTTTAAGATTTCAAAGAGAGAACCAGTAATGAGTGATTACATGATAAATACTTCTTTCTAGAATATGTCATTGACCAAACCACGGATTCATTCATTAGCTAATTCTCCAGACCTCCCGCCTCATACAGCGATCAAACGGTTGCAAAGAGTAACCTGAACCTCCTTTCCCATAATTCCTCTCTAACGAGTTTCCCATGAATCCGAGGGCTTCAAGGGTCCGCTCCACAACAAGGAAGTTAGCCCGCCTCCTCACTCTTTACTGGCCATTCACGATTGGTCCCGCCCCCCCGCTGGGCTTGGGGCTGCTGATTGGACAAGAGTGAGGCGTCGTGGGCGGGACGGGTTCTGACAGCTCTCGCGGAGGCGTGACCTCAACCACCCCCAAATTCTACCCAGGCTCCCGTCGTACCATGTATCGCGCCGTCCGGCTCCTCGCGCGCTCGCGTCTCCTCCTGCGGCCTCCAGGCTCAGCCGCAGCTCCCGGCCTCAGAGCGGCGGCCGTCCTCCCACTGCGGCCCCCGAACTTCGCCCGAATGGTGAGCGCGGGCCGTCCGAGTCCCGGCCTTCCAGCGGTGACCTTCAGCCCTCCGCTCGCCGGCCGGGCAGGCGAGAGGGATTCCCGGGGCGTCCCGGCAGAGCCCGGCGTGGGCTGCGTGCCCGCGTGGCTGGCTTCCGGGCCTCGCCGTGCCGCCTGCGCCCCGAGTGAGCGCTGGGGCAGGGGCGGCATCCGGCGGCGAGGGTCCTGCGGGGCTCCCTCGGGCGTTCCCGGGCGGGTGGGGTGTGGGGGGCGCCCCGGCGGCGGTTACTGCTGCGCTCCTGCCGGTGCGGAGGCCCCCACCCTGGCCGCTGCCCTGGGGACTGTGCCGGGCTGGGAGGCGGGGCGAGGGCCGCTGCCGCCCCTGCCCCTTAGCAGGCGGCTGCTGATGGTCGCCTCTGACCTGTGGCTTCTTATCACCGCTGTGTGGCGATCTGCTTTCAGGCCTCCAGGTGGGGTTGAAGGTTCTCAGGAACTTAAAAGATTTTGCTTTTCATGAAAATTGCCTATTTCGTTTGTTAGGCTGACTGTGGTTTCCCCCACTTTTGTAAAACTTGAAACTCGTGGAGAGGGACAGTGTCCTGAAGTATGTTAGGGGAGATTGGATAAGATCTAACTGTAGCTAAGTCAGTACTTTTTATTCAGAAAGACCTAAGGAACTTAACAAGGTCCAGGTTCAAGTCTTTTGCTCTTTAGAGTAGCACCTTCAGTAATTTGGGCTTTAACGAGCATTATAAACACTTATGCACACGTGTATTGTTAGGAAAAGTTTGGAAAATAAATGTAGTTTAGGAAGAGTTAACAGTTCTGCACAGTCCACTGTGCTGTAGTATGAGCTTTGCAGTCAGATGTGGTTTCACATCCTAGGCTGCTACTCAGAGTTGGAGTTTGGGGCAACTTGTCTTTGTGCCTCGGTTTCTGCATGTAAAATGGAAATAAGAGCAGGTACCCAGCAAGATTGCCCATGTGAAAGTACTTTGTGTTTGGGAAATAGTGAGTGCTCATTAAATTAGTGCCTCCATCTAGCGTAATTCAAAGGCCCAAGATATTTTCTGAACTATAAACATGAAGGTAATTTCATGGCATTACTATGCTTGAAACTACAAAATCGGGGGTGCTTTATGTTCCTGCAACTCCCTGCTCTAATAATTTTTTTTTTTTAAGATTTTTTTTTTTTTTAATTCATAAGAGACAGAGAGAGAGGGGCAGGCTCCCCGCCGAGCAGGGAGCCCGATGCGGGACTCGATCCCAGGACTCTGGGATCATGACCTGAGCCGAAGGCAGACGCTTAACCATCTGAGCCACCCAGGCACCCCCTGCTCTAATAATTTTAATGCATTTTAGAGCCTTTTAAAAATTTATGTAGTTTTTACTAATTTAGTGTTTTGTAAAAGGGACTCAGAGACTGGAGAACTGAATCTGTCCTGCTTTAAATGTTCAAAAAATAGCACTGCCTTGCTTTTAGTGTTGTAATGATAGCTAAGATCAAATGAAGATAGATTCTCCCCCCTAATTCTAAATATATCTCTTGCCCTTTAAGCTCCATTCCAAAAGCTTTGTGTTGATTTTATGGAGTTTTTATTACTGCTGCTGTTGAGAATTTACATAACCCTAAATGCCCTAAGTTACCTTTTATCTAAAAGAACACGAATGTTTATCCAGTAGGAAGATAATGTATTTATTGAATGCCTGCTATGTATTGGGCCCTATGAAAAAAAAGACAGTCATTACAGGCATAGAGTTTAGAGACTAGCAGGGGAGATTAAATAAGCAAAGAAATGATGCACAGTTAGTTACCATGTGATAAAAACTACCCAGGAGAAATAGTGCAGTGAGAGTAAGAATGTCTAATGGAGAACAGCTATGATACTGCTTTGCTAGCATGGTGGATAGGGAAGCCGTACATCTTTTAAAGTCACTTTTCTTTATTTCTTTAATGATCTGCAGAATGGCTGTAAAGTCTGGAAACATAGATAATATCTTCTGTATTGCAATGTAATATCAATAAAACATTTATTATGTAGGGGCGCCTGGGTGGCTCAGTCAGTTAAGCGGCTGCCTTCAGCTCAGGTCATGATCGCAGGGTCCTAGGATCAAGCCCCGAATCGGGCTCCCTGCTCAGCGGGAAGCCTGCTTCTCCCTCTGCCTGCCTCTCTTCCTACTAGTGCTTCTATCTCTCGGTCAAATAAATAAATAAAAAATCTTAAAAAAACATTTATTATGTATTTGCCAGTATTGCAAGACTTGGTAACCCTACATTTTTTTTTTTTTTGGAAGGAAGCAGAAGTTTATGAATTTGAGAAATCTTTTTTATTATTATGTTCAGTTAGCCACTGTGTAGTACATCATTAGTTTTTGATGTAGTGTTCAGTGATTCATTAGTTGCGTATAACACCCAGTGCTCATCACAACACGTGCCCTCCTTAGTACCCACATTTTAAGACCAGACAGACTTTTTCAGAAAGAAACCGAAAACCCGAACACAATGAAGTCAAATAGTGGATTTTTATATCTTTGGATAGTCCTTTTACATGAGAAATGATTTGGATTTTCTTGAATACTGAAATACTCTTTTAACCCACTTTAAACAGAATCTGAAAGGCATTTTGTTTCTTTAGGAGATTTCATGGTTTAGTTAATGGTTATCTTACACATGAATGTACGTGGGAACATCTTAGAGGCTCAAGGCCCATATTTTTGACCTTTCAGGTTTAGACTGGCATTCAGATTTTGAGAACACCTCATTAATTTCGGAGGTTCCTGGGGTTAGCAGCTGCCTACAATAGTACTTTGTATTTCTAGGGCGTAATGACAATAAGACTACAGTGAACATGACCATTACCCTTCATGCTTCTCCAGAAGGGGAGGTGATTTGAAATGAACACGGATCTCACAGGAACCCATGGCAGATTGCACTTTGTGCCTGCCCCGTGCCTGGCCAGTTAAACTTAAACCATGGCGTTACCCTGAAGTGATAAACTGTCTTCTGCTAGAAACTCTTTCTGAATTATGGCATGTGAAGGCACGGTTTTCAGAAACACTAGTTTTTTGTAATAGTGGATTATGTTGTATGAATTAAAAACATGTATTTAAGAGATGCCATTCATCGCTTCATTTTTCATCAAAAGCACTGATCATTTTCTCATTAATTCAGGATGAGCATTCCTCCTTTTCTTGCCCAAGCCACTGGGAAGAGATAATGTACAAGATAATGTGGAAAATCTTGAAAACAACACGAGTGCTTTTCAGACCTTAGGTGGACTCATTAGTGGATGGTGAAATCAATGTAGTGGGTAGTTACCAACATTATTATTATTATTTTGACAGAATAGAATGGCATAGAAGAAAAAATTTTCCTGCTGTTTTGTGAAGTTTTTGTTTCAGCCTTGTGTGCATATATGCATGTGTTTATGTAGTACCAGATCACTGTATAAAGGTCTTTTCTGGGGGTTACTGTAAAGAACACTTAAAGAAATTTGGCTTCTGTAGGTTTTTGAGAAGAATGAAGAGATTGGCAAAGTTACCTGGTTCATAGTTCCTCTCTCTCTCTCTCTCTCTCTTTATATATATATATATATATATATATATATATATATATATATATAAGCTTCTCTAATAGATGCTGACCCCGCATAAACATAGCCTTCTCTGACAGATAGTTTTTTCTAATTCCTGGTGCCTTGCAAAGTATTTTACAGCATCCTTTCAGTTTCTATTTTACAAATTTATGCGACCTGTAGATTTCCTGGGGTTCAAATAAAGAGATAACTTTGGCTTCTTGCAACAGTTTGTTATTAGCTACCTAAGCTGCTGCGAACAATGTTTATTGTTGCAAATTTGGGATGTTGATTTTTATTATAGGGACAGTAAGCATATTTTTTTAATTTTTTGCTGACATTGTGATTTCAGCCACAGTTGACTTCTGCACATTTTAATGATCACTGTCAAGCTCCTAGAATTTGATTGAGGTTGTTGTTTCTTGATTTGGAATTAAAAAATTGTTCAGGTTTATGCTGAAGAATATAGTAAAATACATTCATCTAGATCTTTTCAAGTAACTTTGAATGGATCTGAGTTTTACCATAGAAACCAGTTACTTAGGGGACAAAGTTATTGCTGTTTTATGATGAAAAATTAATAATTTTGAACACAGAAAGCGATGATGTAAATCCAAGGAGCTGAACCTGATTCCTCGAGTGACTGATGGAAACTGACCTCCCTTTGGAGCTGGCATGGTGTTGCTGTCATGTAACGAGGTGATGAGAGGAAGAAAATGTAGCTTATGTGTCCCGTGTCACTGCTACGCTTGCTGGTGTTACTGGGCCAAAGTCTACTTTAACATATGTGGATATTTCCTTAGGCTATCTAAAACAAAGATCATAATGCAACATATTTTTATTTGTGCATTTGAGATAGAAAACCCAGGTGCTTTTGATCTACAGGGTAGGAAGCAAGCGTGTGTTTCGTGGTGTCAAGTGTAACCAAGCCCTACTAGAGAAAAATCTAACTACACATCCTCACCTCCTTTTATTCTCCAGGGTTAGGGGTATAACTCAAGGGCTGGTTGTGGCCAATCTGAAGTTACTCCCTCCGTTTCTTGGCTTTTGGAAGTAGTAACAAAAAAGTAGTAATCTAAACAGCTTTCGGGTTTTGACAGTCCAAGGTTTGGGGGTTTCAGGCCCTTCTTCTCGCTAAGTGGGTGATCCCTGAGATTAATCTCTCCAAGCCCCAGTGTTTCCTCTGAGGTGGAGATGGTAATAATAAAATCTCCTAGAGTGGTTGTGAAAGTCAAGGAAGGTGATACTTGGACAGAATTTGCTACATTAGCACAGTAAATGCTGAGGTGTGATTATTTTTATTAGCTGTTGCTACTTGTTGGCTTAGGCCAGTCCTCTGCAGACTTCTAGACATAGAAAAAAATGTACCTCATTGATAACACTACTGTATTTCTACCTAGATACGATGATACTTTTCTATTTCTGCAATCCAAAAGGCTTTGTAACATATAAAGGGTTTTGTAAGTCTGTCTGGTCCCAGAAGATAACCACAAATTAAATTTTTCGGAGGACTATTTACTAAAACAGGATTACTCGGCTAGGGATTTTTAAATCTTTTGAATCATCTGACCATGTTTATTTCATAATTAATGCACATTAATTAAAGCTCTGAGTAACTTTCTGATGTCTCCTTGATATAAATTATCCCATGTAAATTCCAACTTCTTAGTGTTTTACAGTAAATCTTTTTTTATAGTATTCTAAAATATTTGTTGAGCAGTTGTTAACTTTTTTATTAGCAGAAGTTGAGGTACTTGGTAGAAACCTTGGTAGAAAAGGGACTTGGGATCATGGGTTCTTATTCTGGGTGGTGGGTTGGCTTCAAGATATAAACTCCCTAAAATCATATGTAA